AGGGGTGGAGGGGGCGAGTGGGGGGGGGGGGGGGGGGGGCGGAGGGTTACTGTTAAGGCTCAGAGTTTACCAACCAAGGCTCTTCTGGGGACCTGGAGCTTATTGATTTTGTGGGCCCCCAGGCTCTGGGGATGGGCCAAAAATGAGGGGTTCTGTGTGAGAGAGAGGGCTGCCAGGCAGCAGCCTAAGGGTAGGCATGTGGGATCTGGGTGGGCAGTATGGGTAGGAAGTAGGGTGCAGGAACAGGTCTGCGAGGGAGTACAGGATCTGGGAAGGCTGAGGTGCAGGACTAGGGGAGCTTATTGATTTTGTGGGCCCCCAGGCTCTGGGGATGGGCCAAAAATGAGGGGTTCTGTGTGAGAGAGAGGGCTGCCAGGCAGCAGCCTAAGGGTAGGCATGTGGGATCTGGGTGGGCAGTATGGGTAGGAAGTAGGGTGCAGGAACAGGTCTGCGAGGGAGTACAGGATCTGGGAAGGCTGAGGTGCAGGACTAGGGATGTTAAATTTCAATTAATCAGCTAATTGAGTAGTTGATGGAATTTCCATCGACTACTTGATTAGTCGATAAGGGGCGAAGGGGGAATTTGCTATCCCTGCTGTACTGCTGCCTTAGAAATGTAGTAAGAACTGCCTGTGCTGAGGCGCAGCTGTCAGGACCGGACGCAAGCCTCAGTTTCCGCTCATGCTCCCTGCTGTGCCTCTGCCTCCCCTCTCCTCCCTCCCACCCACTCCCACTCCACAGAGATGGCACCAGGGGAAACTGGCTTTTAAGCTGACTCCTGCTTCCCCTCCCCCTTGCTGCCTCTGATCTAGAGGCAGGGGAGGAGGGGGAAATGCGAGTAGTCGACTTGATTACGCTTTTACATTCCTATGCAGGAGTGGGCTTGGGGGCTGGGAGGGAGGGTACAGGACCAGGCTGGGAGTGAGGGTACCGGATCTGGATGGTAAGGGGTGGGGAAGTGGGGTCTGGGCAAGGAAGCACTCACGGCAGGCCCTGCCCCCCCCCCCAATCACTCCCACTGGATGCAATTCCCAACCAATCGGAGCAGCAGGGGGAGGTGGTGCCTGCAGCATGCAGAGCCGTTTCCTAGCTCCTGCCAGGAAGAGCCCGCAGGCCCAATCTGGGCCCTGTCTTGATCCAAGTGCAAGCCAACCCAGTGTCCCCTGTGTGGCTGGAGAACCAGGGCTGGCTCACACTTCTGGGGGGAGGGATGAGCCCCAAGTCTCAAGGCAAACCAGGGGCCTTATCCATTGCCCACCTCTGGTTTACAGTTTGATTCAATGGCCCTCAGCTCCCCGCACACCAATACCAATGATACCAGCACCCCTGGAAACCCCTTTCCAATCTCTGGCTGTTTCCTCTCTCCACCTACCTGGGTTAAAGGTGTCTCTCCAGAAGAAAGCCAGGAGCCCGGCTAGAATCCCAACAGTACAAAGCACTTTCCCAGGTAGGACCATCTTCCCAGAAGTCGTGGGGGAAAAGAGCCTTAGTGCGAGTGCAGCCTCTCAAGCAGTCAACCGCTGCCCCATGTACAGCAAACTGGCCTGTGTGAACAGCACAATGGCAAGTGTGTGACGTGGCGAGGCAAGTCTCCAATGGCAGCTAACAGGCTGGGGAGGCAGAGAAGTGGGACAGGGCCCAGCTGATCAAAGGAGCAGCTGCGAGACTTTCCATGGTGTAAATTCGTAGGACCCTGAGCCCACCACTGCAGGGCTGAGTCCCTCTTTAGATGCAGTGCAAGTCGTGCGCTTTCCTGAGGTCTAATTCATTTAAGATATGGCCCTTGGATAAGCCAGGCTAAAACCGGGACCTTTGATACATTTTTGATAAGGCTCCTTACAACCAGAAGACCGACCATAGATAACAAGCATGCAAGAAGCAAAGTCCTGGTGTGGCTAGAAGCTCACAGGAAAGGAAGCAGTGGGGCGGCACAACTGTTGGGTTTGCCCTGCCTGCCCCAGCAGAACTGTTCGACTGAGTCCCTGGCCTCCAGGCTCAAAATTCTGTGCTGGAGCCCAAGCTAGTGTAAACTGGCATTGGAAATCAGAACTCTGCATGGGGGCAGGTTTCAGAGGGGGAGCTGTGTTAGTCTTTAAGGTGCCACCAGACTCCTTATTTTTGCTGAAACAGACTAACACATTTATTCGGCCATAAGCTTTTGAGAGTTGATTTATAGCAGCTGAGTGTCTGACCCAGAGTGCGCAACTTCCCTCCCTGCCCCAAAGTCCAGAGCAACAACAGCTAGAGGGGGGTGGCTCCAATAATGGAATAGCTGGAGGCATGCGGAGAGGGAGCAGTCTGTGATATGCCCTGGTTAAAACCAACATGAAAAAGGAAAGTACAGTAGACTTCCGATAATCCGGCACCTTTAGGACCCAGGGGGTGCCGGATTATCTGATATGCCGGACTATCAGAAGGGGGGGCTATGAGGGGTCTGGGGTGGCATCCCCTCCCACCCCACTCCAAACCCCTCATAGCCCCCCCCTCACGATAGTCCGGCTCTGCCTCAGGCGTCCCTGATTCAGCCGCTGCTGGTCAGTTTCAGCAGCGGCTGACTTGGGGACCCCTGGGGCAGAGCATCTGGGGTCCTGCCGGGTTAGTCCCGCAGCACCGCCCCTCGGCACTGTGGGACCAACCCGGCAGCACTCCAGCTGCTCTGCTCCCAGCTTCCCTGATTCAGCTGCTGGTCAGTTTCAGCAGCGGCTGACTTGGGGACCCCTGGGGCAGAGCATCTGGGGTCCTGCCGGGTTAGTCCCGCAGCACCGCCCCTCGGCACTGTGGGACCAACCCGGCAGCACTCCAGCTGCTCTGCTCCCAGCTTCCCTGATTCAGCTGCTGGTCAGTTTCAGCAGCGGCTGACTTGGGGACCCCTGGGGCAGAGCATCTGGGGTCCTGCCGGGTTAGTCCCGCAGCACCGCCCCTCGGCACTGTGGGACCAACCCGGCAGCACTCCAGCTGCTCTGCTCCCAGCTTCCCTGATTCAGCTGCTGGTCAGTTTCAGCAGCGGCTGACTTGGGGACCCCTGGGGCAGAGCATCTGGGGTCCTGCCGGGTTAGTCCCGCAGCACCGCCCCTCGGCACTGTGGGACCAACCCGGCAGCACTCCAGCTGCTCTGCTCCCAGCTTCCCTGATTCAGCTGCTGGTCAGTTTCAGCAGCAGCTGAACGAGGGAAGCCTGTTCAGCTGCCCCAGAACTTCCGGGTTCCTGATGGTGCCGGACCATCAGGAGTCCCGGAGCATTGGATGCCGGGCTAATGGAGTTTTACTGTATTCTGAGTGCCCAGTTATTGCCACCCTGGAGTTCTGAGTCAGGACCAGGCAACCGGAGCGACAAACATCCTGGGAGCATTTTAGCTTCTCCTGCATGAGATCGGGGGTGTCACCCGCACAGACCCTCCTGCACCTGCAGATCTGACAGCATTATCTGAACAGGCACTGCCTGCTCATCAGGGCCCGATTCTGCTCGGATTTCCAATGGAATAATCAAGAGCAACACCACTGAAGTTAATGGAGTTAAACCTATAGATGTGAGATCAAAAGCACTGTCAATATGAGATCATCCCACACTAACCTCCCCTGCCCTCCGTACTCCAGCTGCCCCCCTTCACTCTGGCTTGGACAGCACCTTGCCCTAAAGCTATGCCAGGTTGGACTTGATCTTTAGATCAGCTTCCACTCCTGGATCTGGATCTTCTGCCCCATATTAGATCCCAAAGTGATCTGAAATTCAAGCCTCAAGACTCACCTAACACGGCTGTTCCTCTGAGACTATTTCATACGTCTTTCCTAACGGGCTTGAATGTGCGATCTGCTCTGCTGTTACATGGCAATCCTCCTAGGAGGGTCTCCTCAAAGAAACTGATCCTGCTCTGTAAAATGGTGTTTGACACACTTTTACTCTGAACTGCGAGGACTAAGGACAAAGAAATCTTTGACAAATCAGATGCATTCTATAAATCAGCGAAGCTAACGATAGTGCCTTGCGTATGCAAGCAAACAAACAAACATTTGTATCAATCATTCCCTTACTCTCCACACTAGTTTGCCAATTTGCTATTTGGAGTTTCAGAACCCAAAGCAGTGGTTATGTTACTACTTTTCCCCCGCCCCCCAGGCAGTATCAGGAATAAATCAATAGGAACACAGTGTTTCTGTCTGATACATGGTTTATACAAACCAGAATGCTTTTACTTAAAAACTCCTTTTTATTAAATCTTACGTTCTTGCATGTGCGCAGACACACACACATTTATGTTATAGCAAAAGGTTTTTAGAACATTCCAAGATACAACTTCCAAAGTCTGAAATGGTTTAAAAGAAGTGATAGCAGAGAGTCGATGGCCAGCTTCCTTCCCACTGGGGACTTGAGGGTTTCAGCTTCTTGCCCAAAAATAAACTCCCTTGGACTTCTAAGGTATTTATTTGTACTACTTTTTTATAGCTAACTTAAACAAAGCACATTACTCACAGTATCTTTTATTGGGTTACTAGGAGTAATCCCTACCGAGTTAATTTTCTAAAATAAAAAAGTATTTGTATTATTAAAGCATTTCTAGTTATAACACCACCACCACTTATACGTTAGGAGCACTAAAGACCAACATCCCCAGTCTAAACATTAGGGATGTTAAAAAGGCTTCTTTTTTTTAAGCAAATGTGTAACCTCTGAAATTTTCAGCTGAAATTTTCACATTTACATAATCTTAAAACAGCTCCCCACAAGTACCAGCTCCTTTGGAGCTGCCTGTCCCCATCTTCATGCTGCTGCTTCTGTATCAGAGCTGGCTCCCTGCAAGCACCGGCTCCCACCTGTCCTTCTCCCCCACAGGCTCCAATACAGAGGCAGCAGCATGGGAAGGGGAACCTACATGTAACCGTTAGGGATGTTAAATAGTGGTTAGGAAGCTAATCAAGTAGTCAATGGAATTTCCATCGACTACTCAATTAGTCGATAATGGAGTTCGTTGTGGCTCTGCTTTTCAAATGTTCTTACTACATTTAAAAGGCAGAGCCACAGCAGTCTGGGACTGGGTGTGAGCTAGGACAGCTGAGGCCCAGGTCACGGTGGGTCATAACAACCAAAGGTCCATCTAGTCTAGTATCCTGTCTGCTGACAGGGGCCAATACCAGATGCCCAAGAGGGAGGGATCACAATAGGTAATCCTCATGTGATCCCTCCCTTATCACCCACCTCCAGAGAAACAGAGGCTACGGACACCATTCCTACCCATCCTGGCTAATAGCCATTGATGGACCTAACCTCCATGAATCTATCTAGCTCTTTTTTGAACCCTATTAAAGTTCTAGCCTTTACCGCATCCTTTGGCAAGGAGTTCCACAGGTTGACTGTATGCTGAGTGAAGAAGAACTTCATTTTGTTTGTTTTAGACCTACTGCCTATTAATTTCATTTGGTAAATCCTAGTTCTTATATTGTGGGAATAAGTAAATAACTTATTTATTTTCCTTATTCACTTCTTCCGTACCAGTCATGATTTTATAGACCTCTATCATATCCCACCTTAGTCTCCTCTTTTCTAAGCTGAAAAGTCCAAGTGTTTTTAATCTCTCTTCATATGGGACCCATTCTAAACCCTTAATCATTTTTGTTGCCATTTTCTGAACCTTCTCCAATGCCAATATATGATTTTGAGGTGAGGCAACTACATCTGTACGCAGTATTCAAGATATGGGCATACCATGATTTTATAATAGAGGCATTAAGATATTTTCTGTCTTATTCTCTATTCCTTTTTTAATGACTCCTAACATTGTTTGCTTTTTTCACTGCCGCTGCACACTGAGTGGATATTTTGAGAGAACTATCCACAATGACTTCAAGATTTCTCTCTTGAGTAGTTGTAGCTAAATTAGTCCCCATCATATTGGAAAAAATAATCCCAAATATATATCCAATGTGCATGACTTTACATTTATAAACATTAAACTTCATGTGCCATTTTGTTGCCCAATTACTTAGTTTGGTGAGATCTTTTTGAAGCTCTTCAAAGTCTGCTTTAGTCTTAACTATTTTGAGAAGTTTAGTATCATCTGAAAATTTTGCCACCTCACTGTTAACCCTTTTCTCCAGATCATTTATAAATAAGTTGAATAGGATGGGTCCCAGGACACACCCTTGGGGGAACCCCACTAGTTACCTCTCTCTCCTCTGAAAACTTACCATTTATTCCTACCTTTTCTTTCTTGTCTTTTAACCAGTTACCAATCCACAAAAGGACCTTCCCTCTTATCCCATGACAACTTACTTTACTTAAGAGCCTTTGGTGAAGGACCTTTTCAAAGGCTTTCTGGAAATCTAAGTCTACTATATCCACTGGATCCCTCTTGTCCACATGTTTGTTGACCCCCCACAAAGAACTCTAGCAGTTTAGTAAAGCATGATTTCTCTTTACAGAAACCATGTTGACTCTCCCCCAACAAATTATATTCATCCACATGCCTGACAATTTCGTTATTTACTATAGTTTCAACTAATTTGCCTGGTACTGACGTCTGAATTACCGGTCTGTAATTGCCAGAATCACCTCTAGAGCCCTTTTTAAATATTGGTGTGATGTTAGCAATCTTCCAGTCGTTAGGTATGAAAGTTGATTTAAAGAATAGGTTACAACCCACAGTTAATATTTCTGCAATATCCCATTTGAGTTAAGAACTCTTAGGTGAACGCCATCTGGTCCCGGTGACGTGTTACTGTTAAATGTATCAATTTGTTCCAAAACCTCCTCTAATGACACCTCAATCTGACAATTCCTCAGATGTGTCACCTAAAAAGAAACCCAAACTGGAGCCAATCTCCCCAATATCCTCAGCTGTAAAGACTGAAGCAAAGAATTAATTTAGCGTTTCTGCTAGGACTTTATCATCTTTGAGTGTTCCCTTAGCATCTCGATCTTTCAAGGGCCCCAGTAGTTGTTTAGCCAGCTTCCTGCCTCTGATGTCTGTTAGAGAAAAGAAACTGCCCCCCCCCCAGTAAAAAAGTTTGGCCAGGCGGCTCTTGCTATAATGGGCTGCAGTACTCCTTGAGAGAAACCGGCCGCACCCTTCCTGCATACCATTGCCTTTAGAAAAAGGGAAGGTGTGAAAAGGGGAAAATAGTCTCAGACTCTCCCACCCGTCACCTTGGCGTGAGAACTGCGGGGCTTACCTGATCGCATGAAACCTGCACAGTTTCGGTCCAACCCTTGGGACACAGACCCCCCCCCCACTTGGTGACCATTGGGCCATATATGGTAATATGCAAGCAAGGAAAGCGATGTGCAGATTTGGAGACAGTTCGCTCAAGGAGGTCTTCACAACACACGTACCACCGTGCGTGTGCCTTCCCGTATACTTCAAAGCGCTGCCAGCCTGATCAACCGACCAGCCACCTCCCCCGACTCTCGGGCGTAACCAAGGCCTTCACAACCGAACCGATATCTGTGAAATGTTTCATGTGTGATTTGATTTTTTCTTGTTGTATAAGCTTAGTGTTGTAGTTGTTTTTGGATAGTACATAGAGTTTGTAGTTATCACTGTTATTTAATTAGTGTAGCTGGATATTTTAAGATTACAAACTATTCCCCTGGCCATTCCCATCCTTATCTCTCTGACACATTTAACTAGAGATCATAGAATAAATATAATAAATACTGTAAATTAATTATTAAGGCGGTCTATTAAAAATCTTAGAATAAATACTATAAATTCACCACTGTCATAAATAAATAATTTTTATTTGATAAAACTGTCCACCTGGTTCTGTCCTTCCCCCCCTTGGGTATTCATCATTGGACCTGTGATTCTCGCGACAATGTCCTTAAAAAACATTTTACTATTATTTTTTGAATTTTTGGCTAGCTGTTCTTCAAACACCTTTTGGGCTTTTCTTATTAAATTTTTAGACTTAATTTGACATAGTTTATGGTCCTTTCTATTTTTCTCACTAGGATTTGACTTCCACTTTTAAAAAAGATATCTTTTTATCTGTCACTGCTTCTTTCAGCTGGTTATTAAGCCACAGTTGCACTTTTTTGTTTCTCTTACTGTGTTTTTAAAATTTGGGGTATACATTTAAGATGGGCCTCTATTACAGTGTTTTTGAAAAGTTTCCATGCAGCTTGCAGAGATTTTACTTTTGTCACTTTACCTTTTAATTTCTGTCTTCCTTATTTTTGTGTAGTTCCCCTTTCTGAAATTAAATGCCACAGTGTTGGGCTGCTAAGGTGTTTTTCCCACCACAGAGATGTTAAATTTTATTACATTATGGTCACTATTTCCAAGTGGTTCAGTTATATTTACTTCGCCACTTCAGATTCCACTTTCTATGCTCCTCTTAGGACTAAATCAAAAATAGCCTCTCCTCTTGTGCGTTTCACAAGCAGCTTCTCCAAGAAGCAGTCATTTAAGGTATCAAAAAAATTTCTCTGCATTCCATCCTGAGGTGATGTGTAGCCAGTCAATATGGGGAGAGTTGAAATCCCCCATTATTATCAAGTTTTCAATTTGATACGCCTCTCTAGTCTCCCTTACCATTTCATAGTCACTATCACAGTCCTGATCAGGGAGAGATAATACATCTCTAAGGCTATATTCTTATTATTGGAGCATGGAATAACTAACCATAGAGATTCTATGGAACATTTTGGCTCATTTAAGATTTTTACTTCATTTGATTCTACATTTTCTTTCACGTATAGCACCACTCCCCCACCAGCACTGTCCTTCTGATATATTTTGTACCCTGGTATGACTGTGTCCCTTTGATTGTCCTCATTCCACCAAGTTTCTGTGATGCCTATTATATCAACATCCTCCTTTAAAACTAGGCACTCTAGTTCACCCATTTTACTATTTAGACTTCTAGCATTTGGTCCCAGACCATTGCAGCTCTGCCTTTTAAATGCAGCTTTTACTACATCTAAAAAGCAGAGGCATAGCATCTGGGACCCAGCACGAGCCGGGACTGCCCCTCTGCCTCTCCTGCCTCTCACAGAGATGGTGCTGGGAGGAACCAGCTTTTAAGCCAGCTCCCCCCCTCCCCAGCACTGGCTCCTGCTCCTTCCCCTTACTGCCTCAGTTTAAATGTATACATTGTCACCTCCCTACTCTTCTGATTAGCAAGACTTGCAAATCATGCAGCTGTTTGGCCTGACCTTTTGATATCAAGATTATTTCTAGGTAAGCGGTACTTGGTTTGCAGCTAGAAGCGGCTGGACACTTAAAACAGCCAACTGCAATTAAATTAAATGTTTGGGTTATGCAGGGCCCAATTCTGAACTTTCCTAGTCCAGAGTAAATAAGAAGGAATTATTTTAGTCAGTGCAGTCATATCTTGGCAAATGTGAAGAGAGATCAGAAACAGACCTGTAGTATAGTACACAGCAACTCAAAAGTTAAAGAATCTGGTTTTGCAGCCTCCTCTGAGAGTAGAGTAAATATCATGATTTCCATTTCACAGACTGGAGAAACTGAGGCACAGAGTGAGAAAGGTCAGAGCTGGCAACAGAACTCAGAAGTTCTGACTCTCTGTCCTGTGCATTAGCTACACAACCATTCTTCAAGTTCCCAAACAGCTTAAAGGGTGGTTATCTATCCTCTCAGCCCTCCTTCTCTTGGCCTATATATTGTGTTCATTGATCTACCTAAGCACTTTAGTATGTAAGCTTTGAGACTATAGATGGTCTTAGTCATGTAGATACTTATCCACAGAGAACTGTACTGAGACCTACAAATCTCATAACATGCAGGACATCAGATGCCATTAACTTGCTTGATTTATCACTGATATGGGGGGGAGGGGAGCATTTCTCTTTCTTTATATATAAAAAAGTTTTTCCTGCCTGACGACAGAATTGCATCATCATGTCATCAGCAGAGTGAGAAGGGGAAGCAGCATGGCCCTGCCCACATTCTATCCTCCACAATACCTGCTCCGGGCATTCTGGGGGTGAAGTGTTGCTGACCCCAGTGCCCACCCTCCCTGTTGCTCTGGGGCGCTGGGGAGGTGGGAAACACGTGGCCTCTTCTCTCCCTTGTGTGCCCCCCTCCTGTCTCTGCCAGTGAGTGGGACAGAGATGGGAGTGCAGGATCAGGGCGGAAGGTGGTGTGCAGGAGAGGGTGAGGGTGCAGAGTTTGGCCAGGAGAGAGGGTGCAGGAGCAGGCTGGGGGTTAGGGTGTCTGGCCTGGTGGGAGGGTGCAGGAGCAAGGAAGGGTGCAGGAGCAGGCTGGTGGTAAGGCTTAGTGGCCATGCGGGGGGTGGGGGGGGGTGTG